AAGTATGTGTATTTGAGTTTAGTATATGAAAAGGGGATACAACGTAAAGAATTAAAGTTGAAAATAATGAATTTTCAGGTTTAAATGTGAATTCTGGACTAGTGTGCATCGGTACACATTCAACATGCATCGATGCATTAAGGGTAAATTTCCAGAAATCATTCAATCCCTTAAAATAGAAACATCGAATGCAAATTGTGTATCGATGCATAGTTAATGCATCGATGCACATACTACAGAGTGTACTGATGCACTTCAAAGGAAAAAAAAGTAGATATTTCTTATAGCTTAAGAAATCAAGGATCGAATCATAGTATTTAGAATGCTAATATATATACATGATTGTGTAGATATCGATCGAGAGCAAGTTCCGTAATGATTGAAAGGTTAGAATTGATCAAGAAGAGAAAGTAACCCATAGGAGTAATTGATAGCAAGTGAGGCACATGTGAGTGCATATTATTGGAAATATGTATTTTTAAATGGGAATTAGACTTGTGATAAGTCTGTTCCCGATATTTGAATATATGATAGCATGAGTTGAAGCATGATTAGGATTATGTACTATGTGAATATGTCATGCTTGCATTACATGTTATGCGATGTGCATTTATGTCTATATGATAATGATCTATGAAATAATACAAGCGTATTATCTGAATTACTTGATAATAAGTCATAAGATGGCATGCAAATGTAATATAAGTTATAAGATGAGAAAGTATGTACATGAATACATGTATAAGTTTATATGTTATTTTATGTGTTATATGGTGTATATACGAACATATGTGAATAAGATATGACATACATGTTTACATGAATACATGAGTAATAATATAAGCTATATGATAGATGATATGGGAATGTATTTAAAGGACATATGTTATATGATATGAAATAAATGATCATATGCACATGTGATATATGATAGAAGAAATGATATGAGCACATGTATATGTGATTATGAATGACATGAATATGAGAAAATGTATATGTGACATGTGAATTATATGGAAGTGAATTGTGTGCCTATGTGATAAGATTATGTGAAATGATATAAATATAATACCTATGTTATGTGTCATGAGATCTAGAGATATAGTTGGCATGCCAAGAGTCGAGGGATATACAGTGGTCCTTCGGGACATAGTGGTCATTCGGGACATTTCATAGTGGTCCTTTTGGACAAATTCATATGCCCCTAGTGGGACCCCATATGAGCTGTGGTGATAGCATAGTGCATAACCTCAATAGACTTATATATTTATAGTTCTCACATATGTACATGGGCTAACAAAGAGATAATAATACATATATGATATATGATATGTATGCTTTTGGTGAAATAAGGTTAATGATGGAAATGATGAATGATGTGTATATGTGTACAATTGATTATATGTGATGTTATATTATTGTGGGTGATAGTATGATATGCTATGTATATGTAGGGTTAAGTAGTTAGAGTTACTTTTATACGTTAATGCCTCACTAAGTCATAGACTTAGCGTGTGATTGTTTTACACGTAGGTTATAGAAGTGAGAAGAGAAGCTAAAAAGAACAAGACAGGTCAGATTCTCCTTTCCACAGTTCAAATCAGAAATGAACTTAAATTATATGTATTTTGTCATATGAAATGTAGTTGGCATGTAAGATAAAATATTAGTATTGGTTACGCTCTAATCAAATTTGTAAAACCATATGTTTTATACAATAAAGATTATTTGGGTTTTGTTGGAATGTTAAACTGAATTTTATTAGATTTTGGTATAGTAAACATTTTGAACAGTCAATGTGACACCTCGGACTCGTATCCGGGTCGGGTACGGGTTGGGGGTGTTACACAAGGGATTATTTTCTAACTTTTAATAGCTAGTTATTATGCAATTAAGACTATTCGTCTTGCTAAACTTAGTGAGTTTATATTCCAGGCCTGTAAAAATTATATTATATATCGGTTGAAATAACTGTCACAAAGCCTTTTGTTTATACCAAATAGTTTAACAACATTTTGATTGATTGTCTCCTATTAATAGCTAAACTATGAGAACCAAAAAAAAAATCTATATATATATATATATATATATATATATTAATTCACATATAGAACTTATACATATCAAGCCAATAATTTATACTCATTTATGATTATCTTATGGTTAGAAGCCATATCTTTACCATTATACAATTTTGATTGTGTATTATATATTTATATCGATCCACCATAAATGCACAAAATTGATATTTGAAGTAAATTGAGTATAAATCTCGCTTTATTGAATGTTTTGAGATTCAATATGGCATGAATTGCCTATTATTATTATTTTCATCAGAGAGAAGAATACACAGCTGGATGAAAAAGATATATGAATTATCATTTTATTTTGATCATCGTACATAGTGATATGTATGAAAAATTCATAAGATAATTCATTACAAGTTTGCTGCTAGAAATATTTTCTGACCTGATGAGAGTAAGCAAGTCTTATGCACCAGCTGAAAATGCTCTAAATTTGAATTGAAATCCAGAAGGATAATATGTTAGAGCAAAAGAATGTAAACCATGTTCGAAGCATGATAGTTGAATTGGTTCCAACAATTAATTTTTTTGTCAATGAAAAAGTAGTATAAGATGGTCATATAGCGGAGGCGAGTACTCCAGAAGAGACCTAAGACATAACTAATAATACAACTCTAGAAGAGTTCCAGGTACCTTAAAATGAAAATGAAAATAATAAAGAGATCTCGATAAGTTATATCATTACGAGAAAATAATGGAATCGAAATAAAAAAAGTTGTCGACAATAATTTTACAAACAATATTTCTACAGATATAAAGATATAAAATGAGGATCTTGAATTGAAATCTATCCAAGAGTATAGATGTGAAAATAATTGGCCAAAATGGAAAAAAAACGCTATTCGAGTTAAGTTAAATCAACTTCCAAAATATGAACAAGTAGTTCAAACACCTAAAGGTGTAATGCAAGTGGGGTATAAATAAATAGTCGTGAGATATAAAATACAACTTCAATCATGAAGATTTTTACTTCGTGGTGGATGCAATTACTTTATTACTTTGGTAATTATGAAAATTTTTATAATGCATCTAATGATTTGTGGATTCCTATATATTTATCCCTGAAGGATTAAAATGCTAGAACCATTTAAAAATTCCTCAAAAATTTGTTCAAATATATTCGCTTATGTATTTATATAAAATGAACTGATCTACGCATGTGTGATATATTCAAATCGATGAGAATCTACTTGCTCATGTGCCTTGATAAAGACATTAAGATCAAATTATGATGATTATTGTATACTTTGAATTGTAACTCTTGAAGTGTTTTAAAATAAAATTCCCGAAGAATTTCAAAACTATCTTGATTGTTTAAAAGAATATTTGAGATAAAGAATCTTGCAATCAAGTTTTATCTCGACCTGTAGATCGAGTACTTAAATTAGATTAATTGAAGATATTAAACATCAAAGGAAACACATTTTTCTAAAGTTTCCCCTCATGATCTTCAAAAGCAGAGTAATGTAAGTTTTTCACGAATCCATTCAAATGGTAATTTGAAAAGTTATATTCATTGATGTATTATTTACTTGAATATTTGAAGATTGTATTTAAGATTGAGTTGTAATAATCAAAGATCTTATGTGATATTATCATGAGGGAGAGTAAATACGCGTTGTACTATTTTCCCTTAACCAATGTTTTGTCCCATTGGGTTTTTCTCATAAGGTTTTTTTAATGAGATAACATATTATACGTATTAAAGATACGTGTACTCTTTTTCCTTCATTAAGATTTTTCCCACAAGATTTTTTATCTAAGTAAAGTTTTAACGAGACACATTTTCTTCATAGAAATTCAAGGGGCACTACCAATATTTATTTATGTGGATGTCAATCTCTATCTATATCTCTATCTATAAGATTGAGTTTTGATAAACTTTATTATTAAAACTTTAATATCCATTATATTTAGAGTCCTATATGATATATACTACTCGTGCTTATGAATATGAAGTTCAGAGAAAATATTTATACAACTCATATTGAGATAATACTATAGTTATCCCCTTTATTCTTATGTATATTCTTCTTCATATTATTTTTATTGCTTCGTTTAAATTATTTAATAACAATTAAAATTAAAATTATATTATAATAATAGTGTTTCTCGCGTATATAATAAAACATGTTTTCTATCCATGTGACATATTTAAGCGTTATTTTATATAGGCTTAAAATAAAAGCAGGTACTCAATTTGTAATTTTTTTTGTCAAATTAAAATTTTAAACTATTATAATTAATCATTTTAAGTCCTATCATTTTTCAGTTAGAAAAATAATTTTTGACCCTTAAGATGTTGATACGTCACACAAAATTAGATACTTGTTTTGATAAGAAAATTAATTTAGGGACTTAATGCAAAAAACCCCCATAGTTTAGGGACTTATTTTGACTCAAAATAATTTAGGTACTTGGTTACATATAATAATTTAAAAACTTAATTTGACAAAAAATAGTTTAATTAATTAAAGTAAAAAAAACATGGTTTGAGTACCTATTTTTAATTCAAGCCTTTTTTATAAATAATTTTTTTTCAAAAGTTCAAAATTAAAATAATAATTTTTACGTGAAAATACTCAGATCTTCAATACTTTAAAAAACAAATCATAAAGGAAAATAACTTACTTTTTACACACAAATAATTTAGTTGGATATAAATCAAAGATGAAGCATTTATTTGAATGTAGAAACAAACTTGTTCAAATAAAATGAAGAAATCCAATTAACTTATTTAGCGTATTTAATCATGTGCTTAATTTAATGTAGAGCGTAATTGGAATCTAATCGTGAGATCATAATGTAATTCATTACAAGAGTTCACCACTGAGTCATGACAACCGAGTGGCCTGTGTTTTTGAGTTTACTTTCCTAATTTTTTTTAAATTGACAATAATACCCATAAGCAGATATTCTTATCCCATCCAAACCAACGGAAACCTCTTTGATTTATCTGAAACAACTGTCCTTTTTCGTCCATCCACAAAATATACCTGCCATTTTTCTCTGCTCTTTTTCATTATTCACCAAACAAAGAGGTTCTTCCATAAAAGAAAAAAAAAAGAGGCTTTTTTTTTGTGGCGGAGAGAGACGGATTGGGCAAAATGGACGGTAACACTACGGAGGCTGAGCGGTGGTTGAGCATAGCGGAGAAGCTATTGGCGACGCGTGATTTGCACGGGACCCGAACCTTCGCGATCCGAGCCCGTGAATCGGCTCCTATCCTGGCCGACCAAATACTTGCGGTGACGGACACCCTCTTAACGGCACAATCTAATACTCAAGATTGGTACAGGATCCTCCAACTCGTGCCGTTAACTCAGTCCATGGAGGTCGTGGCGAGTCAGTATAGGAAACTCGCTCTTCTTTTGAATCCTGGGAGGAACAGGCTCTCTTTCGCAGATCAGGCGTTTCGATTCGTTTCTGAAGCTTGGAATGTGTTGTCTAACCCTTCTAAGAAGGCCATTTATGATAACGAGTTGAGGTTCCTTCAGTATGGTCAGGTGAGTCAACCCGGTGAACAACAAAATCATCAACAACCACAGCTTCAGCAACAGCAACAACAACAAGAGAAGCAGCCGCAAACGCAGACGCTGTTCATGCAATCGCATCCGCTTCCTGCGCCGAAGGAAACTCAAACGCTGTTTATGCAAACTCCGCAGAAAGAGACGCCGACGCAAGTTACTCAGCCGCTATTCACGAGAAGAAGCCCTAGAAATACTGATAGAGAAGGGAATGCTGATTTAGGAGGCGGCGGGCAGTCGGGTCTCAATAACAAGCCGCCGGAGCAAAATCGGTCGACTGAGCCGATATGGAAGAGGCAGATGAATCAGATTGGTTTAGGTGAGAGCAGTCAGGTTAGACAGTCAGGGTCAGTCGATTCCAGCCAGATTAATCAAACAGGAACAGATAGCTCGAGTCAGTTTAATCGGGCCGAGCCAGCTCGTACGAGTCAAATTAACCAGACCACAACTCCTCCTCCTCCTCCTCCTCCTCCTAGGGCGGATAGTCAGACACAGTCAACTAATGTGTCTCAGCCTAGAGAAGCCACTGAGTCAGAGGTGCTGACATTCTGGACAGCTTGTCCGTACTGTTACGTTCTCTATGAGTATCCAAAGTTGTATGAAGATTGTACATTGAGGTGCCAGACTAAGAACTGCAGGAGGGCTTTTCATGCGGTTGTGATACCGTCGCCGCCAGTAAATGGAAAGGACACGCATTTCAACTGCTGGGGGTTTTTCCCATTAGGATTTTCTAGGAGCGGTAATTTTCCCAGTTGGTCACCTATTTCGACCATGTTTGCTTGCCCTAATAACCAGAATGCTGCAAAACAAAATACTGCCAAAAAGTCTGCTCCAAGAGTATATTACGATGATGATGATGTACATGAAGATATTTCTGACTCAATTGGGACTTATGATGACGATGATGATGATTGGCAAAATGAGAAGAGGAAGAAGGCAAAGAATGCTAAAAGGAAAGTGTCTGTGGGGAGGAATGCTAAGAAACCACAGAGCGAGGGAATTAAGCAGCAGACTAATGAGAAAGCTAGTGTTGATCACAGTGGGAATCTGATTGGTGTGTCCACGGTGCCTGATGGTGTGCCAACTGCTGAATCGAGCCGAAGGGGGGTTGTTAATAGCGGGAGGAAGCAGATGGGAAGGGTGGCAAATAATTTGGGGAAGTTGGATTTGAATGTGGAGTTTAGCAATGAAGTTGAAGAGCCTGCGCCGAGGAGGAACGAGGGAAATCACGACGGCTATGTGGAGGAGGATAACATTGAAGGGAATGGGTTCTTTGAGGGTCTTGATGAGTATTTGAATAGCTTACCTATACTTTCGGCTGTTGGGGATGATAAAGTTAAGGCTACTTAGTGAAGTAAGATCCTTTTTTTTTCTGCAGTAGTTGTAATGGAATGCTTGTAGTATTTAACCATGTGGAGATGCTTATGGCCTCCCTTTATAGCCTCTTCAGTGTTGGATTTGACTGTATATTCTGCAGCATCACGTTTTGTCAATATTTTGATCGTTTTATGTTGCCTATTTACTCTGAAAGTTCTATTTGTCAAAATTTCCTGTTTGGGAGGATAATTTGAAAGTTAAGTACAAAATCATGATAATCTATGAGTTGAAGATGGAATGTTCTGTCCACCATGATTCTGGCGGTGACGGGAATTGGTGGTAAGTTTTCTGACTGTTCTCTTTCTCTTTTGAGTTGAAAGAGTTATTAACCATGATAATTGCTTTCTCCCCTTCTCTTTTCCCTCTTAATAAAAGGAAAAGAGAAAAGGCTGAAGCTTAGACTAAGGAAGTTGGAAATATGCTTTGAAAATGATGAATTGGACTATTCAAGTTTGATCTTGCTTATGAAAAGATTTTAATTACTTGGATTATGATTCAATTGTTATGAGCTTCTATGAATTTCGTTACAGAAGCTTTTGGGTTTGCAAATCTGCTTCCTCTGTTCTAAGAATGAGTTTCGAAAGGTTATGGAGCCTCTATGGTTTTGATTACCAATACCCTTCTCTATATTTATTCCATAAATAAGGCCTAAACACTTGATTTATTGACCCACCTTAACATACACCCTTTAACTTCAAATGGAGGAATCCCAATTGAAGTTGTCAGACGCTGGTTTGAAGTACACGATTTCATCTTCTAGTTGCATATGCTGTGCAAACTTACTGTTATGCTAATCCCCTAGCCATTAGCTTCTTATACCAATTGTGAGAGACATTCCTTCTTATTGGGCTCAAAATCCCAGTACCAACATCGTGCTAATTCTCCAGAAGTCTAATCTTCAGAAGATCTTTTGTATTTTGCTCGATAAACTCCTTGCCCTTGTGCAGACTTAAAATCTGATTTTCCCTTTCTTTTGTTGTTTTTCGATAGCCAGTAACTTCTTTAGTATAGAATATTTTAATTACATATCAGTATTCCTGTCATCATTCACCAAGCAAGTGCAGTTTTTATTTTTATTTTTTATAATTGAGTTGCTGTGCTCTTGTTTAATTGTCTTCTAACTCGCCTCGTTCTTTTTCCTTAATTGCAGTAGCTAACTTGTTGATCAGATGTTAAAGCGTCCAGCAAGTCATTCATTCTAATAATCAGTTTTAGTTTGTTGCAACATGTAAGGCTCCTGATTTTAAATGTTTCTATCCCGTGTGAGGTAATTTTTTGTTTTTTGTTTTATCTCTGTGGTTGTACTGATAATGCTTCAACAGGCTTCTATTTGTGGTACACTCGAATTTAGTGAGCGAGACATGTTGTAACGAGAAGTGCTTTGCCGGTTGGATAACTTTTTATTGGAATCTTTTTCTGTACTTTGTATGGGGTTTTGGATTTCGTAATCTACTCTTAAGGGCATTGTATGATGCTGGCCTGGGAAGACGTCACATGTAATCTGATTTGTGAACTACGCTTTACCTGTCAAAAACTGGAAGCTGCCTCGGGTTCTTTGTAGTGGTCAAATGTTGCTCAGCTAATATGTCCAAAGGCGGTAGATGATCACAGAGCAGAGCAATTGGGATATGATTGGAGGGCTTTCTTTCCTGTCTACCATACTAAACAATTGAAGAGTGTAACGACTTATTGCTGTCTTCTTCAAAGGGCGAAGAAGGTACGTTATCCGTAAACGTGACAATGTCTTCTTATCAATTTTTTACTAAGAATCACCATTTAGAAGTGTGCAATGAATATTTGGTTAACCTTAGGCATGGGGTGGTAAGTAGTATGATTCTTTCGTATTAAAGTGGCGATGCGCCACCGAGTTGTTCGGGTAATTTGTCATGTAGCTGAGGGACACAATGGCAGCGTTGCCAAATGTGGGGTTTATGTAGATGATGCGATTCCTTTTAGATGGGCTATAATGAGTTTGAGGATGCTTTGCATGTTATCTTGGGCACGCATTACTTATTGCCTGCGTGCTAATAGTTTATGCTTGCATTTGGTTTCTGTAGACGGAATATTGCAGATATTCAATCTGATGGTGACATTTCTAACTCAGTTTTCTTTATTTATAACATCGTGATTTAAATCTTAGAATTTAAATCCAGGTATGTTTTCTCTATCACGGTCTTCTTGTTGGATTAACTTTTAGTTAATAAAATTATAATTTTATTAAATTCGGCGGCTTTCTTTGACTGATATTTTCATTCTTATTTGTTAATTTTAATTTTTTTTAAACTGATGGAAAATATATTTTTTATTTTTTAAATGATCCGAATAATTATAAGATAGTATTGTTTGTAGTTTTATTTTAGATATCGACGAAAATGCATATATAGAAATACATAGAGAATTTACAAAAAAAAAAAAAAAAAATCATATGATTTGTAATTTTCTTCTAAAACTGTCAAAGCGTATATTGTAACTACACACACAAAACAATTCATAGAAGAAAAATTAAAAGTTTAACTAACTAATTCAAACAAATGAAAGATGTCAATGAACGTCATTGTTATTATAAATGTTGAGGGGTTGTTTGTTTGCCTCTTAATGGAATCATTCAACGCTTAATACTGAATCGTTCAGCATTCAACGCGTTTGTTTTGCATCTCTGAATGATTCAGTGCTGATTGATTCAACAAAACAGTGTTGAATGATTCAGCACAAAAATACATTCTGAATGATTCAGAGTTAATTCATACAGAGTCTCTAAATCATTCATCATTTGAATCATTCAGCGCTTAATCATTATGAAGTAAACAAACAACTCCTGATGTAAAAATTGATGTAACAATGATATATTGTTGATAAAATAATATCACAAAAGTTAAGTCGCGTTTTAATTTTTTTTTGGCGATTGTAAGAATCTATCAATATTTGGTATGAGAGTTTAAAGTAAGAATAGATTAACGATAATCAAATGAACACCATCTAATTTAAAGAGGTAACGTTAAATCTAATTTAAAACAAATGTGTTGCAAGTGAATACAAATAACGTGCTACAAGAGCAGATAGAATCATCCATAATTTTAATTTTGAATGAAAATGAAAAGTTAGCGGTTAACAATTAGTCTGAAGCAACGACAATGAAAACAAATTAGAAATTACAGTTTTTATTCGGGCTCAGCATCCAACACTCATTAAAGCAAAAGTAAAAAAAAAAAACAAATCAACCCACTACCCTATTTTCACGTTTCTCACAAACACTACCTAACAACCCAATATCCCACTAACTAAAAAACAAAATCCCATTTTCTTTTTTGGTTTTTAAGAGGGCTATCAGAAAGCAAAAAAGGGGGGACAAACTTAATCAGTTCTTGGCGTCGCTCAGTAAAAAAAATGGGTATATCCAGGGATTCCATGCACAAGAGACGTTCCACTGGAGGCAAGAAGAAGGCCTAGAGGAAGAAACGAAAGTACGAACTCGGTCGCCAGCCCGGGAATACGAAGCTTTCGAGCAACAAAACCGTGAGGAGAATCCGTACCAGAGAAGGTAATACCGGTGCAGCCAAGTTGGCTATTCAAAAGAATGGTTTTGCCCTTCTACGTTACTCTGACGCTTCGAAGGTTGTTTCTGTCCTTCAAAGTATTATCTTCACATATTTCTCTTTTTTTTGCCATTCTTTTTGGGTTTTGTTCATACGTGTTAGAATACTGTAAAACTGCTGTAGGTACAGCACGTGTATGTAAGGGTGGTTAGGCTGTTAGGTTGTTAGTCAAGTTAGTTAGTTTGTTAAGCGGTTAATGACTAGCTAAACAACTGTTATAAAAACAATGTATCAGTTGATATGAATTCAAGCGATTCTTTACTGAGCATATTTTTTCTGTTATTCACACTTCCTAAAATGGTATCTTTCGCCAAACGCTCTGGGGATTTCTTGTAAGCCTCCGCTGCTGCTGCTCTCTCTTGGTAACGATTATGGAGTCGTCCAAGAACTTTGCACACAAGAAAGTGAGTGTTCTCCTTGATGAGATGAATTTTCTGTTGTGGAAGCAACATATATTACTCACAGTCCGAAGCCATCGCCTCGAGCGGTTATTAACCGGAGTCTTGAAGCCACCACCGGAGACGGTACTTGATAGCAATGGCGAAGTGAATGTCAATGATGCCTTTGAAGAGTTCGTGGCACAGGACAGTGCACTAGCGTCGTGGCTCCTTTCCACCATCAGCCCGCACCTCCTGCCGCAGTTTGTTGGAGCAGATTCGGCTGCCACAGTATGGAGCACGGTGCAACAATTATTTTCCAACAGATCTACTACCGCTGCTATGGGACTTCACTGCAAGCTGCAGTCGCTAAGAAAAGGGAATGACACTATGCGGACCTATCTTTCCCGCGTCAAGGAGGTATGCGATGCACTCGCCTCCTGTGGAAGTACAGTACCACATGTTGGTCATATAGCCAGTATACTTAAGGGGTTACCCAGGGAATACCAGCCGTTCATGGCGGTTATCACTACGATGAAGGAAACGCTCTCCCTCGAAGAATTACACACAATGCTTCTAGATGCTGAAGCCCAGTTAGCTGGATTTGATGAGTCCATGGAATCATTGCCTATGAGTGCGAGTTTTGCTCAACATGAGGCAAAATACTCCGATGATAACCGAGGTTCCAGGTCCTCTCGTCCCTCCTCAAGCAATCGTTCTGCTGTTCGTGGTCGAGGAAGAACCAAAATTCAATGCCAATTATGTGGCAAGCTTGGTCATCTTGTTGACCGTTGTTGGCATCGGTTCGATGAGGATTTCATGTGTGTTACTGCTGAGCCACGGTCTCACAAAGGTCAGTCTGCTAGTGCTCATCACTCGACTGTTGAAACACCTAGCTCGGGGTGTGATTACTGCAATGGTCAGCCTCAAATGGTTGTGCGATCACCGCATGCCAATGTAGCCTCAAAATCAGCTGACCTCTGGGTAGTGGACTCGGGTGCTACTCACCACGTTACCCCCGACGTTAATAACGTCCCAAATTCCGTTGACTTTAGAGGCCCAGGTAAACTAACTGTGGGAAATGGAGTGTCGCTTGACATCCATAACATTGGTAATACGGTTGTTGAATCTTCAAGAGCTATATTTTTGAATGATCTATTGCATGTGCCCCGTATAACAAAAAACTTGATTTCTGTCTCCAAGCTTGCTAGGGATAATGCAGTTTATGTTGAGTTTCATGCTGGCAAATGCTATGTTCGAGATGAATCAACCAGAAATATCCTGCTGCAAGGTGAAGAAAAGGATGGTCTGTACACCTTTGCTTTCGGAGTAGAATCTGGTGCTGCTGTACATGTAGCAGCTGCAGATGTTACACGTGATCAGTCAGAACTATGGCACTGTCGCTTAGGACACCCAGCTCGATATGCTCTAAATAGAATAGCTAATCAAGTCAATATAAAATTGATTCTGAGATTAATAAAACTTGCGTGGCCTGCCGTATGGGCAAGAGTCACAAGCTTCCTTTTGATTCATCTAAAACCGTGTATAAGGATCCATTTGAGCTTATTTTTTCAGATTTGTGGGGATCTCCACACGTGCCATCTAACGGTTTTCGATACTACGTGTCGTTTGTAGATGCGTATACCAGGTTCACATGGGTCTATTTCCTAAAGGAAAAGGCTCAAGCCTTATCTGCTTTTTAGCTGTTTCATAAGCTTGTATTAACTCAGTTTGGTGTAGCGGTTAAGGCAGTTCAAACCAACTGGGGTGGAGAATATCGCCCTTTCTCTGTGCTACTAGCTCAAGCGAGTATTGTGCATCGTCTGTCCTGCCCCCATACATCGGAGCAGAACGGTGTTGTAGAACGCAAACACCGTCACATAGTCGAGCTTGGCCTGGTTTTGCTCGCTCAGGCGTCCTTACCTGTTCAGTACTGGTCCTACGCGATGACAGCAGCTGTTCACCTCATCAATCGGTTACCAACTAAGGTGCTTGAAGGGCAATCACCGTTTGAGAAGTTGTACAGCAAGAAACCCATTTATGATAATCTGAAGGTCTTCGGGTGCCAGTGCTTTCCCCATCTAAGACCTTTCCAAACTCATAAGCTGTCCGTCCGCTCACAACCTTGCACGTACTTAGGGTTCAGCCCCCGACATAAGGGGTACCAGTGCCTTGCGGATGATGGAAGGGTTTATATTTCTCGTCATATGGTGTTTAACGAAATGGTGTTTCCGTTTGCAGGTAAAGAGGCGATCAATACGCAACATAGAACCAGTGGCTTTCGATCACAAAGTATTCCAATTATTGCTGATACACAAAGGTGGCACAATATGCCTTATACTACCGGTGTTGAAGATGGTTTGGCTGAAGATGTTCTTCCAGGTCAAGCACAACAAACTCAGACTGTGATTGAAACTGCAAACCCGCTAGAGTTCGCTAATGAGGTTCCTCCTGTCATAGACGCAACCTCTCACTCCAATGCTAATACAAGTCCTGATGTAGGTGACACGGACGAGCCTGTTAATGCTGACACGAACACATGCGATAATGCTTCAACTGAACCTGGTGCCATAAGCTCAATGAAACAAAGTTATCATCCAATGCTGACTCGCAGCAAGTGTGGGGTGTTCAAACCCAAATCATACACTGCCTATTTCGAGCATAATATACCCACGTCTATACATGAGGCGTTGCAGTCCGACAACTGGAGTGAGGCAGTCCGAGCCGAGATAGACGCACTTCGCAGGAATAACACGTGGTCGATAGTAAAACTACC